TAAACATCACAAATATCTAGCGTGAAGAAATACGATTTGTAAGATAAAAGGTATCGTATTATATGTGAGAAAAAATAATTATTATAAAACAAAAAAGGGCAAAGAGCCAACGATGTAACAAACAAAAGCTCTTTAATTCAAATAAATAATAAATATATCTACAAACACATTTCGATCGGGTCATTCTCAATGTTACAGTAAAGACGCAATTAAAATCGTTATCATCTATGAGGTGAACAATACAAAATTCATTATCCTTCAAAAATTATTTCGTTCGTGATTTTCGTACTTTGAGTCAATTAATTAAAAAGTCGGATTGTGTGTATGTGTGTGTGTTTGTGTGTGTGTGTCAAATTTGGTATTCTTGTCATTTATATTTGTTGATAATTTGTTAAAGAGATAAAAATGTATATAAAAGTAATAACCAGTATAATACAGATATAAATAGCCTATCGTCACATAATATTAAGTTAAAGCGAGTTTGCAGAAATATACGAACGACTAATCTCAACTACGCCAGATAACGCAATCAAATAATTATTAGTTATTATTTATCCCGTCTGTAGTGTTGTTATCAAAACGAAATATCATTGACATAGTTTGACGTTTAATTTTATAGAAATTTAAACGAGCGTTTATTCTCTATGCAGTTCTTCTCTTTAAACATGCTTACGATCGATTTTTGAATTCATGCCCTAGAGTTCATCCACGGCATACATCTTCGCATCAAGGAATCTGTTTTGCGCACGTTGCACGTAAATACAGCGTGTCACGCGCGAAATGTTTGTTTCGTTTATCAAAAGAATTCTATTGTTCTTGGCCCGAGTCCCAGAAGAACGGACGACCGGAACTGGATATCAGCGCCGTAAGACAGATCGGTCGCTGCTTAGGTGCGGGTATCCTCGAAACCTCCCGAAGATTTATACCAGGAAAGTACATCGTCACGCGAACGCGAGGCCTAAGCTATGAAACGCGCAGCGCATTTCCGGTGTGCGGTGGTGCGATACGACACAGCCAAGTGCCTGTTCCATCAGACGACGACGACGACGACGCAAACCACGGTGGAGGCGTATAGTTGCTCGAGCGATACAAACGCGAGAAAAAACGGGCGAGTTACCAGGGGAGGAGACCGGTGTTACATAAATCACCGAAACGAGAGAGCTACCGGAGGCATGGGGTTTTCGAATCGTAACAAAGTGGAAGATAGCCAGGCTCGAAGGCTAGGAGAATATGGCTACCATTTTTCCTCGGCTTCGGCTGCTGAAAGCACACGTAACGGGCGTGGGACAGTTTATGTCCGCGTGATTCTGGCCTCCTCTCTTACCCCGACGATCCCTCATCCCCCATCCCCTATTGCTTGTTCGCGCGTTGAAGATTTCGGCTTGTCACGCCTAGGCTCTTCGTACTCCCTTTCTCGCATACCCCAGTTTTTTCCCCGCCGTATTTCTCATTCGCTCGCGTCCCATTCCACATTCTCCCATTACCTCTTACATCGTGCGCCACCTCGTACGCTTCCTTTCCGTGCCAACTCTAAAGCGATACGAATGGCCATTGGTACCACATACATGAAAACGAAAAACTTTTTCGTTGCACGTACCGGCACGCCCGTCCACTTTTCTGTCCGGGCCTTTATCGATCGTGCCTCTTTGTGCGTGGACGCGCTTTCTCGCACCGTCCCGTGACTTCCTTCGTCCTTTTGTATTTTGTACACTGCCTGCTCCTCCATTGTCTGTTCTCGAGTCGTTATTTACGCGGACGTTGTCACATACGCTTCTTATCATGACTATATATACGTAAAGCGAATATTAAAAGCTAAAAAGAATATGACTTAATGTGATAAGCCTCAGCACTCCAAGTTAATTACATATATCTATATATATAAGTAAGAATGTAAAATCGTAAAATAAGCTGCAATGGTTTACGTTTTATTTAACTGAGCGTATTATTATACAAAGGAATGAAACATCGCGCAGAACTAATTGACTCGCGAAAAGGCATTACGACCGGATAATAAATGTAATTACATTTTCACATTTATTTACTACGTATATATTCTACTTATCCGTCTGGCGGAATGGATGACAATGACCTTAAAATGTCACCGAGTTGCCTTGTTGCAAACCCTCTCTAATAAAATATACGATGCAATTTTGTTACGCCGAGAACCCGAGTACGTGCACTTTGAAATGCAGTACTTTAACGCCACGTTGTATATAACGTTGTATCATATTCCATGGAGTAGCGCACGGTGGGGTAATATCTTATCCCGAGTCCTTTGCCCCCTCTGGAGCAGCCCCGACCTCTCATAATGGAAATCTATCTTCCATCTATAATTATAATCGTGCGTTGGCGTGATGCATTTCGCGTTATCGCGGATCATGACGCGATAACACGTGTATCGCGATAAGCATCGCAGTTACCGAACTACTGCGACTGAAACTAGATTCAAGGCTAGAAGCTCGTGAAACACAGCACCGAGTGTCTTCGCTCGAATACCCTCACGCTTCGTGACATCGAAAAGATTTTATCGCGATGAGAGCTTCCAAAGTGATTACCAACGAGAACCGGGAATCCTTCAATTATACAATCGCAATTGATAGTTACGGCTGATACGTTTGCCGTCTCCTCGCGATGTTAACTCTGTAATTTCTAATTGCATTAAGATCTTTTCTCAGGCGAATCGTTTTTATAATGTCTCGTAATATATAGACATAGGTATATGAAATATTTCGAAGAATGTAATAACAAATTTATGGATATTCGGATAAAATAATAAATCCATGTAATATTATTTTTATGTAATTTACATAAACTTTGGAATCTCACTTTAAAAAGTGACAGTTGAGCCAGTTTCGCGAAAAAGAATAGTTTAGTTTTCAATTTTTAATAATGAGATTTCGCTCTTTAGAGTAACAATTTATTCTAAGAGTTTTAGAGAGTAAGTATTTTTTCTATTGTATTCGTAATCGATTCATATAAAAGCAGTTTATGTTGAATAATATGAGAAAAATAAAGAATAAAAATAAAAGAAGCGTAAGGAAGACGAGTTTATATTCTATAAAATTAACAAGAAAAAAAAAAATTTAATAGCCATTGAAACGTGGTGGGCAACATTGCAGACAACATGGCGGACGAATCACGCTCCTGAAAAATTAACCGGTCCCGGGTGTCGTACCCCTTTTGCGAGTGGGAGCGGCGCCTTGCTCTAATACAGATTTATTGCCACCTAAGAGCCGGAGCCAGGCGTTCTAATACAGGTATTATGCTGACGCAGGCACGAGGAATTTACACGAAATTGGAGGTAATTTGTAGGGGTCGAGCGCAAACCCCTTCTACCACTGCCATCGTCGTCGACCCCCTTTCGGCCGCTGCTACCCCTACCCCACGTTACATCGTGCCGGACTTGTGTGCGGCCGTGTATCCCGAAACTCTCCGGTAACGACTTGCTCGAAGGACGTAACTATCTAGCAAGGGCTATCTACCTCGAAATATGCAGCCGCGTAGGCCGCTTTTTGATTTACGGAGTAGATCGTTAATTAAAACGTCACGGCTGATCGGTCGCGCGTACGGCGGTTTAATTAAAATTTTTTAATTGCCAAGCGTGCCTACGATAGACGAACGATCTCATCGCGACGATCTTCCAAAAAGTTGTCTTGCTCTTTTTTTTTTTTTTCTCTATCATCGGCGTTGTTTTTCATGGCACCCTAACAAGGGTATCGAAACACGAAACCGGTTATTATCGGAGATCGTGTCATGGTTTTCGGTGGACGCAAAGAGCCTACCGCGTAAATTGTCGCGTATCGTTGACGAGATCGATCCGCTCGACACAGATCGCTTCTGCGGTCTACGTGTTCTGGATAGGAAACTCGTTATTAATGATGAGAGTGCGAAGAGACTATATGCACTAATCGTGGATGATAATCCTTCAATTTCATCGGAGCGATCAATCTTAGTTTTTTTGCTTCGTTACCGATCACAGATGGATTATTATAGATTGATTAGAATGATTATCCAATTTATTTTACAAAATGTTACTTCTCTCTATGTTTTTCAAGAAAAAAAAAAAAACATATGAATATGAAAATTTTATAATAGTTTTAATCACAACTACCGACAAGTAAAACTACCATACAGGGCAAAAGATTACGATCGTGAGCAAGAAGAATAATATTGATGCTTATAAAATTAATTTGTCATTTTGCGTAAACGAATCAAAAGGTTTCTACTCCTTTATCCTTCCGTCATCTTCATTCGTTCCTTGATAACAAAGTTTTACAACCGTGCTTTCGAGGTCGCGTGTTATTTAAAATTTTAATACACCTAAGGCGCGGAACGCAAACGCCGTACTAGCTAGTGATTTTAATCTTGCTGTTGTAATAAGAAATAAAGTGAACCATGTAGCAGGTTCGCGCTAATACCATTGCTCGAGAGACATTCCTTCGTGTCACGCGATTTACATTGCGAGGTTAGAAGAATTTCGATAATACAGTGTGATGCGAATGGCAATTACCTAATTTAATTCTAACGTCAGACGTGCGGTATGTATATATATATGTTTCGTTATATCTTATAATCTGTTTTGAGAAATAAACTATAATTTTTTAATTAATTAAAAAATGTAGAGAAAAATTATTTTCCATTTTTAATTATAGTATAAGTTTTTGTTGTTTTTTAAAAATATTTTTTAAACAAACCGTTTCAAATATACGTACGTTCTAAATTTAATGAAAATATTGGGTTGGTGCTACAAACTTCAAAATTCAAGCCACTGTAATTTCGTTAAAAATAAACGAAATTCAAATAAAAAAAAAGGCTTTTAAAATGTCCGTTTTTGAAAGGTCACGTCTTTTAAAGTTTCTGTGAGTTTGATAACTTTTACACGTAAGATTAAAGCTGCGATCTGGACAAAATAGGAAATTATACAAATCGTATTGTTTCCCTGAGATACCGAAGTAGTCGACCCACTTGACAGTAGTTTCGTGATACGATTGTTCTCTTACCTGGCATGTTTCGGTCCGAGGCTGGGATCGTACATAGAACTTGCCGAGATGTCTTCATCGGGGATTTCTCCGCTTTCCATGCCCAACGCTGTAGTGCATTGTCCTGAAAACAATTCACGATGGCGTTGGACAAAATTCGATATCAATCTTCATTCCATTAATGTCGCACATTAAGATGAAAACTTGGAGTGGAAAATGACATGGTGAATAATAGATTATGTCACCCGCGAGGATTCAGTTGAATCACATCATTGAATAGTTAATTCTACATACGTAATTTGCATGGTATAGTCAAAGATTTTCGACGATTTTATTCTGGGATGCCTAAGAATTTCATTTTCAACAATCTCATCCAATGCTAACAGCACTATCGCAGAGATGTGCAAATTCTCCAACGAAATCCCTGGAAACGCCGGTCGCCACAAACATGCGACTTCGTATTCCGCTGGGTACACACGAGAAGCAATTTACAATCGTAGCGAGTGCGCTCGTATTGCCTCTCTTTCCCGGTTTCTTTTTCTCCACAAGAGTTAGCAGATATTTTCATGGTCACGAATAAAACGAATCGAGTTATAATGCAATAAAGTAGAGCATCTAACTAATTCTCTACTTATTGCTAGCTAATATGTTATATTCAATCGCTCTTCCTTTATTTTATCCTAACAAGTTAATTGTCAGTAAAAATATATAAAAAAACAACAAAAGAGTAAGGTGTTAATATTCGGTATAAACAAGCAACGATTTATCAGTTGACAAATTTATTATAAAATATTCATAATTAAACACGAAACGTTTCGACGCTTACTGCAGTCCTCTTCAGTCTCAAATACATAAAGATATCGAAATACATATAACAAATCAAATAATCTATGAGCTATAACTCATATATAAAAATGAAATATTTTTCAAAACATTCTTATTAGCATTTTAGTTCGATATATACAGGCAAAGATTGTTTCAACTTTCATTTCAATATCCATGAATCGGAAACGTTGAAGAGACGAAGGATAATTCATGTAAAATAATGCACAAACATTGTTGACTATTTGCGCAAGCAATAAAACAATGATATCCTTTTTTTGCCGTTGTATAAAATGTCTGCGCTACGTCATTGCGAAAAATCGATAGTAGGAATATCAATGGCAATGGCCGATGACAATGTCGGCATGTATGTACGTGGGACATGATAAATTTTCGAATCCACGGGAATCAGCCCGAACCAGTATATACCTCGTCGCGCGTGCGACGTCGCTACGCTTAAACTACGGTACTGCAGTTACGGTGGAAAGTTTCAAAACTGCAGAATGCAGCGGACGTGGGATTAGCCCAGCCTCCGGAGCTACTACCGGCCGGCCATGGTCTCCATGAGCCGGCATTACGGCGAACAAAACTTCGTTTGTGTTTGTAACTGTCCCCTACGTTTCACCTATCGTCCATTATACCGGTGAAACCTGGTTCAGCGAGTTGCGCTAGCGCGACTAAAATCTGCGCTCGATACGTCGAAAGATGTCAAACGCGAGATTACCTACTGCGTTCCTCGTTTATAAGTCTTCCGTGTATAGTCATATCACAATTAATGAACAAATTGTCATTTTTCTTACATATACCAATTTTGCTTTTAATTGATTGTCAGAGAGATGGAAAAGGAACAAGGAAATATTTATTTGAGCAGGCAAAATGAATAAATTATAAAAACGAAACAGGCTAATGAGAGTCAATCTGCGGTAATTGGTGCGAATTGATAATTATTTATTATAAACTTATACTTATAACTATATATCAAATGAATAAACTAAAAATTCTACCTATTTCTAAATTGATAATCTGGTAGACGTTCAGTCAAGTGAACATATTAGCTAAACAATTCAACATTTATATTCATTCAGCGTATAATGCTCACAAATATAAAAAAAAAAAGCGATATAAAAAATATAAATTCAATCATGACGTTGTCAATCATGAACGAAAGTAAATGTGAAAATTCGTTATTGCAAACACGTGATAAAATGACTGTTGGAGATTAAGAAGATAAATATTACAAAACTACATTTCGCAAATTGTGTGAAGATAGTTAATATATTGCATAAAATGGTTGGCAATGGCATATAATTCATTTAACGAGGTCCATTTAGCAAAAGTTCTTTCCATCGTGTGTTTGCTGTTTTATTAAAAATTTTACAAATGGAAGTTATGACTTTTACAATGTGCTATCAACTGGCTTCTTCGCATTTTTTCATAAAAATAGCGTGCTTTTCCTTTGTTATCAGAATTTATTACATTTTCTTTATATTGCTCTTTTTAACTTAATAAAAAATTATTACATATTTAATGCCTGAAGTTATCGATCCAGTTACTAACGTAATTTTTCATTAATTATTTTTAACCTCTTCGGACTCTACGTGTACATCAAATTTGGAAATATTATCCATTAAAATTATTTAGTTCTATCGACATTTGGAACTAAATACGTAATAATATCCTATATATTGGAAAAATAGTCCAAATTTTGGAAAAAGTTATGAATTACTTATTAAGTGTCTTTTGATTGAGAGAATTAAAAAAATTCTTTTAACATAATTCCTTCAGATTTCAAGGAGTTATTATTGTGCGCTCAAATATAAAGAATAGTAGTATTGATTGCGACATATGAAATTCAATAATTAGATTTGGTTTCTAAGAGATTTTGAGAGAAAATAAATTTAAGTTATCTTACGTTTCACGCCACGCACGCGTGTATGTGTGTTTTGTTTGCATGTGTAACATTATGATATTATCTAATAAACGTTAGAGTTCCTCTGTCTATTCAGGCTGTGCATCTCGATCGTATTTACATCTAATATTAATTCACCTTTATACCAGGTTCATTAATGCGACACAGAGTGACTGAGATGAACTATCATGCTGTAATTATCAACCTAACCTAGATTTAGCGAGCCGCATCGTTGGTGCATCTGATGTTTCGCGTTCCAAATGCAGCAAACAAAATTCTCGCCGCAGTTAATCAACCGTTACATTATGTCTTTCCGACAAAACAGACATACGATACGAATAACGTGAAAATATCGAGAGAAACGTATAAAATTAAAGAATGATTTCAACTTACTGAATTTCGAGTAGACTTAATATTTCCCGATTTGTTCGTAATATGTGAAGTATTGATAATAATTTCAAAAGTACAATACCTTGGATGGAGCAATTGTATATTTTTAACATTTGTACGTACGTGTACTTTGTACAAAAGCGTATGACGTATCGTATACAATGAATATCCAATGTACATATACAACGATAACGACTATGAACTCGAGCTTTAGTGTCATGTCCCAAAGCAATAAGTCAAGCTGACATATTGGGATATCCTAGACGCGATGTGTTTTCACGCAGCGTGCAGGATAATAAACGATTTCAATGATTCGTGACATGATTGACAGTCCAATTCACCAGAAGCTCAAATGTATTCAATAATGATAGTCAATAATTAATAATTAATATTTATATGATGTTATTAATTATTCCAGTTAAATATTAATTATTAATTAACATATGAAAATTAAATTAGTTAAAGAAATAGATATATATGATTATGGATAAAAGACCTAGTTAAAATCTTAATATTAAATAATGATTTAATAATAACATTCTAATAAAAAAAAAGAAAATTTAATTTGGCTAAAAAGAAGTCAACGCGGTAAAAAGTGTGCAAATTTGTAGAGAAAGTTTTTAATAAAACTATGATATGTAATATTTTTAATAAAAATATGATATGTAATTACATCGGCGTTTTTAAATCTTCTTTTTTATTAAAATATAACTAGTCCATTATTAATTACTGTACCTATTAACAATCTAATAACAATTTAATATTTTATAAACATAAAATGCATGAAAGAAATATTTAATTTATAAAAATTTTTCTACGTATTTAAATATTATAATTTCAAATTATCCTTACTTTTAAATAATATAAAGCACAAAAGAAAATTCATGGATATCAATACAAGCAAAAATAAGCTAATCTATTCTCTTTGTTTTATAAATACTTCCCATTTATCATAACATCGTCTTCCAAGTAACAATTAATTTGCATAAAAATATAACGGATGAGCGGTAAACAACGAATCAGAAGCGTGGCACGCCAGAACGAATCGGCACAATAAACTGGTTTCTCGCTCGTCTGCATCTGAGCAGCTATTAGATAGTATTGTTAATTCATCGTGCGGCTGACATTTCATTTACGAGGGTACAATACCTCGGTGAGGCCAGGTGTATATACGAAGGGATGGTATTATTGCGTATGCGCTTCAATGCTAGAGAAAAAAAATCATTACGCACGCCATCCTTGGTTCTTGTCATGCCTTTTCCGTTTGCACAACAAAAAGAACCGGCATCTTGTTGTGAAATATCCTTATCAAAATGTTGTATTCTGAATTTTTCGTACAATTTAGTAGTATTGCAATAAATAATATTGACAAGCACGTTCACGATATTGTTATCAATAATAATTAACTAATTAAATAAAGTGAAAATTTCAAGGATTCTTTTATATAATAATAATTAATACGTTAAATAGGGCGAAATAAGAGTCAATTAATTATTATTATATAGAAGAGTCCTTGAAATCTTCAATTTATTTGTTTTCAAACCGCAAGCTGTAATAATGCGGATAATACATTGTATGTCTTTTCAACAAGTAAAATTCACAGTTTTCTAGATTTAATAATAATATAAGATTGATAAAGGACTCTTATTATAAACATAAACGAAAAAAGTTAAAAGGACGTTGTAAGAGTCAAAAGAAATAATTTAAAACAACAATTAAAGAAAGACGCATATATGTAATAAATTAATTTCAAAAGAAAAAATTCCTTCGAAGATGTACATTAAAAATTAACAATATAAAAAGACTTGTTTAAAATTCGAAGATGTACATTAAAAAATAACAATATTCAAAAAAAACCTGCTTAACGTTTCGACTCGTAGATTGAGTCTTTTTCAAAAGCGCAAACATATTCTTAAAGTTAAAATTTATCGAATTAATTCTGCGAATCCAACTTCATCACATCCAACTATTGTTCGCTAGAGGAACAATAGTTGGATGTGATGAAGATGGATTCGCAGAATTAATTCGATAAATTTTAACTTTAAGAATATGTTTGCGCTTTTGAAAAAGACTCAATCTACGAGTCGAAACGTTAAGCAGGGTTTTTTTGAATATTGTTATTTTTTAATGTACATCTTCGAATTTTAAACAAGTCTTTTTATATTGTTAATTTTTAATGTACATCTTCGAAGGAATTTTTTCTTTTGAAATTAATTTATTACATATATGCGTCTTTCTTTAATTGTTGTTTTAAATTATTTCTTTTGACTCTTACAACGTCCTTTTAACTTTTTTCGTTTATGTTCTAGATTTAACATTTATAGTTGCGTTTCAAGACCGAAATCTTTCGGCGCGCAAATATTTAGGAGGGGGGACATTTCAGATTATTAGAGTTGCGTTGCAAGACCGAAATTACAATTAAAAATCTAAATCTGATAATTTATTCTAATATATTGCGAAGAATATCACGTACGTAATTTTTGGCGTTTCGTTCCGGCTTCCATTACTGGACTCATCAGTAAGGCATTGTAGTGGAAGCCTACCTTATACGCCTGCAAGAGTTATTCAATCGAGATTCTATATAAAGCGATATACGCGTATTAAAGTACTTGCGAGAATTTGTGAATATCGATAGACCTCTGATGGCGAGTCGACGTAGTAATATTCTTCACAATATTTATTCAAAGTAGGAAATACCGTTCTATTAATATATGTAGTCCCCCCCAAATTGCGCGCCGAACAATTGTCGGTCTTGCAACGCAACTCTGGGATGAAACGCCAAAAATTACGTGATATTCTTCGCAATATATTAGAATAAATTATCAGATTTAGATTTTTAATTGTAATTTGACTCTTATTTCACCCTGTTTAACGTATTAATTATAATTAGCTAATTGCAGCGTGTACACAAGGTGTTATTTCAGAATTTTTATTATTGTCCTTATAAAAGCGTTTTATACACTCTTATTGTTAGAGAAAAAAACTTACAATTAAATAGACTATAAGATCCTCAATGATAAATGTTAAATTGAAAAACAGACTAAAACAAGAGAACGATAAGTAACAAAACAATCTTTCAAGCAATTAAAACTGATGATGCTGTAATTAACTTATAAACACGTTGCCGGCGGCAGTTAGTTTATTATAGAGTTTGATTTACTTCATATTTCATCATACAATTTATTCCTTAATTAAACAATTTTCAATAACACTTTGAGCTTGCAACAAGAATGGAGTGAATCCACTGAAATTAATAAAAGTATAAAGTTTGTTTATACAATTATGCTGAGTATAACATTAAAAATCTTGTTGAAAAGAAAACGCATTAAAATTTTTGTATTGAAGTAGTTTTAAAGATCACGAATTTGATGTAACACTTTGTATAAATTAAATTTTAGTGAAAAATTGTTTTTGGAAAATTATAGATATATGCGAAACACACACTCGTACTTGGTTTGAGGCCACGAGCATTTTAGTTTTGAGAAACTTGTGGTCGTCTCCACGGGATTGCTTCGTATAAGATTTTCAATCGCAACCTCTTGACTTCGCGCGACGACAGTGCGCTCTGGGACAATGGAGAAGATTGTAAAGAGAGTGACGGAAGTTGAAAGGGGTCAAAAGAGTGTCAGCACTTTTCGGAAGTCATAAAACTTGGGTGTATGACGCGTATGAGAGTTCGAATTCGACTTACCTAGATCCGTGCTGCGACAACGCGGTAGGGACAATAGGATGAAGATGGCGATCAGAAGTCCTCGAAGTGGAGTTGAATCGGCGCTGGGACCAAGGACTGGCATGTTACTAGTGACCTGGGCCGTTGGCACGCCGATAACTTGCTCCTCCTCATCACTAACTATCCGCTGTCCTGACCGCATCGGTCATCAAGCACGTTCCTGGCATCGTGATGGTCGCAAGGTGGTTACAGGCTCGTGTCGATGTCCTGAGCACAGAGTAATTCGTGTTAGTTGTCCGCAGACACCTCGACAATGTCGTGGAGTATGAACGGATGGTATAATGCAAGAGATAATATTTACAGACTTGAAACAAAAATAAACATTAACTGCAGCCATGCCAAGCGTGGCTTCCTTTACGTACGTTCGTTTAATGTAATCATAGCAAACGATTGTGTCTCGTTTCATTGATAAATTTATCTTCGTGCAACGACTCTCCATGAAAATAGTGTCGGTTGCTATCGCGAAAACGTATTGTAGCTAGGACGCTACAATGGAATTAACTGCCAAGGTAAATTTACCGGCACGGAATAAAAGAAAATAACTTTTACCGTTAAAAAGTGAGCAAGTGTTCTTTTATATATGTCTCTAGGAACATTTCTCGATTTAATAATAATTAAACATACATTTCTTTAATTAAAAGGAAATTTGATTAAAATATATATATATATATATGTAACAATTACAAAATGAAAGGTACATATTTTTCGTACGTCAGATTTCACCAGTTAAAGATTACGGATTAACATTTAATTAACCAATGTCAAATAAAATATGTATTTTGTACTTCTCTCTGTCAACAAATTCAAGTCGTTTTTTTCCGATTTAAGCTGATTGCCACTGGGACAATGTAACAACTATATTTATGTAAATATCATCGCTAGAACTTTCATTTGTCGTGTAAAGCGGGACTCTTATCGCGCTGCTACGGAAGCGTAGACATTTGTTATCATTTTTGCAAATAGCGCTCTCCACCCGTCCTCTCGTCCGTCTTCATTTTACGTCGCGCACAATCTGCACGATAAGAGGTCTATTTTGCACGACAAATCGGCCCCCTAAATATTGCGCCTGTGAAATAAAAATCGCTTACAATCGTACAACTGACACTTAGTTAAAAAGCGACCGTTATATCCAAGATTAATCGCGTCAACGTACCGTGATATCAACGACTAATCCGTGTCATCCTCGTATATAGAATATGCACCGGCTATATGGATCTCGTCGACGAATAGTGGAAACATTACTATGCCGTGGGCCATGAAATTTTAATTGCACGAGTGCTATTAGTAAACGCGATCGTTTTCAGGGAAGAGGTCGAGGAGCGTCTACTGTTGCTGCTGCTGTTGCTGCAATCGTATCGTGCTCATATGTACCACGCGAGGATACAGTATAAGTACGCGTGTTCCATATGCTGCAATTGCAACTGCAACACCGCACGGATTTCGCGTCACGCCTCATGCATTATTCACACCTCGCCGGAGGTGAAATTATTTTTCCCCCCAGCGTTATAGTATTATTAATTTTAGGCAGTAGTCCAACGTGAAACTCCAAACCGGGAAATAACCACCTCGGCACCTGGTGCGTTTGAGTGCATTCACACAATCGTGACAAAAACATGTGCGTTTCTGGAATCGAAACATCACTCCTTCGAAGTCATAACAATATAATGCTTGACTGTCGAATTTCTTGAGAGATGTAGTAAAGAAATGATTTTTTAAACATATAAATATCTCTTGTACAGTTATGTAATTGTAGAACTATGTTATTGTATTATTATATATACAAATTATAATTTGTACCATGCTGCTATTAAGAAATGTCCTACTTTAGAAAAATACGTCATAAAATCAAATTGTAAGTAATATACCGACATATTCCGACCATAAGGACTTCGTATGCTCTACGTGCCACGTCTAAGATATAGGCGTAGAATACGAACGAGGCCCTAAAGCCGTCAGAAACAAGTGTTGCGCTCGGTATTGAAGTTGTAAGATACGGCAATACGTATGCACCAAAACCTATAATGGAACTCCAGATAGGTCGCTTTGAATACTCGATGGAGCTCGAGAAAGCTATCGGGTACGTTGTACCTTTCAGCAAAACCAAGCAAAACTCAACGAGTACACGTATTATGTGAAACGGGCGAAGCACTGACGTGAAGTTACACGAGTAAGCATGATAATAGAAACTTTATACCGGAGATGACTCAATGTTGAAAAACGAGCAGCCTCTCGACACGTGGGGTCATTAATGCTTTTTCGCGCACAATGCTTTTTTCAAGATAAGGTATACGTATCCACAGTCACTGAGCTCTTGTCGAGCACCCACCATCGAAGCGAGGTACGCCTCGCTTCACTAATTATTTATAATTATCGATCGTTAACGAGCAGTGTCCAGGAGAGATCGCATTACGTTCGCCCCGCAGCCACAGTATCGCAGTAACGTCTGCTCTGCCCTTTCACTCGTGGAGCTATTATGGCACGGCTGCGTGATTTTATAAAATTTGTCTAAGGGGAGAAATGAAGAGAATTAGAGAAAGATATGGCGCATTTACGGTCAATCATGACTGTATGATATATGAGTAACGCGAAAAAAATTCTCGACGTACAACGCGAGTGTTACAACGAGATTGAGATTCATTCACGGAGGAAAATTACACCCGGTACTAAAGTTTTGTCTCGGATTATATCTGGTAATGTACACGACATGACCTGTATAGCGATACCATGATAATAATTTACATTTCAAATATCTCTTTAATATGCGGATTGAATTGAAGATAAAATATCTCTCTTTAAATACTTATATTTCGAGTTTCAACTTCTTGAAATCAGTACACCGAATCGGCAATGCAAAAATAAATTATATTCTATAAATTATCATGAATATACCAAATTGATCAGACTACTTTACGTCTACAAAACTTTATTATAAAATTACGGTACGGAGGTTAAGCGAAGCATTAATGTGTGTATTTTGGCAGCATATTTCGGTGCGAAGACTACAATCTGTTAAAAAGTGCGTGAAATCGGTTGACGAATAAGTATCAAAGGTGGCTATTCACTTGAAACAATAGCTTGTTTACTCGTTCCCACTACACGCGCGTGATAAATGTTTTACGTGCAGCAGTTAAAGCCCTAAAAATTCCTGCTTCATAGATCATTACCTTGGTCCCTTTTCTTGTAACGAGCGAGCCGTAGTGGCTGAAGGAAAGAACGAGCGAGAGAGAGAGAGAGAGAGAGAGAGATTGAGCGAGGGTTGGAATCTACGAAGTGGAGGAGAGAGAGCTCTCGATCTTTTGTGTGCATTCGATAGCCCGTGCAAAACAAACAAGCCTACGAGACACAAAACAGGATCCACGATGCAGACGCGAGTCCCGCTTGTCCAATGGACGTTCCTCCTTTTCTTCACAGAATACCGAGCACCGTCATTACCCCGTATATATATATATATACGAATAGCTCGACGCTTCTCCTTCGCTGAGTAGAAGAGGGAAACGACGACGGCGGGGAAACACGAGAGAACGAGAGTACGGGGTAAACGGTAGGATTTTGCGATGCAAATTTCATTCCGCTCTTTTCCCTTCAGCTCCGTTTCTGCCCGACCTTCCTAGTCAGCCCTTTCTACCTATCTCCGTTCTTTTATTTCCCACCTCTAGTTTTCTTTATCTACGACCGCCTGTGCCCCTCTTTTTAAAATCACCTCGCGGGAGTCCTCTCTCGTGTCGTCGAGCACCCCGACAGAATTATCGCGATCGCTTCGCTCGGACGGACACGCTTTTTCGCGGTTCGTCGCGATTTTCGGAAGGGAAAAGCTCAGCAAGCCGATGTCGAGGAGGATAGGACTCGTCGCGGATACGGCGGTTGGAACTGGAGAGAGGTGACAGTGCTGAAAGAAGCGGAGGTGGAGGAAGCGTCGACGAAATTAATTAATTCTGACGGGCTGCTATCCACCCGTCTTTTTGAACGACAACGCGTCATCACGTCCGTCTTCATCGAGGGAAGATCCCCCTTGTCTCTGGATCGGAGAAGAGATATCCCGATTTGATGCGTTCGTGTCAACCGAGAACAATCGTCAATTCAATAAAAATAATTAAGAATGACATGCTGAATGATGCCTTTTTAAAGTTTAAGCTACAGCTTTGAGAGGAAACGTAAATAGAACAGCCCTGTCTGGAGATAAGTAAAGTTTCGAACTCATCTGCACGATTACTGTAAAGTAATTCATCAATCTTGCAACGTACATTTCGTAAAAAGCTTAGTTGACTGGAAGTATCGATATATTATATATCTCTCGCAAGATAGCAAAACATTCCTCTATGACTTTTACTCTTGTAGTTGGAAACTAATTTGAAAGTGTCTAACTCATAACATTTTTTTTTATCTACTTTTCATATCAACATTGACCGTTATTCTTGTCAATTTTCTAATTTGCAGACTTTCATAAAAATTGTGAGAAAGAATAAAAACGTTAATTATCTTTGGCAAACTTTTAATAAATACAAAAAAAATGTTTGAGAAATGAAACTATTTTATTAATGTGGAGCAAATATTCTATATCCACGCTTGAGAAAAATTACTTAGATTTCTTCGTTTTTTTTTTAGGTTTTTTCCATAAACGCCACGTTACTCATCTTAAGTTTATTTATCATAATAAGTAGCAACACGAATTAATGTAATCCTCGTTAACGACCGCAGAAACGACGCCAGACATTAAACTCATTGCTCTTAGGGGTCGCAGCTAATCCAGTATGGATTAGTTGCGAGAGAAAAAGAGCGGATAAGGAACACCGGACGGGCTTTTCTCAAGAGAGAAGAAAGCGTACGGAAAAGAAAAAGTGTATGAAATTTAAAAGTCCGCCGAGTCGCTCGTCGTTAAGCGAGGGTTTAGCGATTCTTCCGAGAGGATAAGAAGTGTATATAGGTGCGATGGGTAAACGTATACCAGGGTATGCTTACTTCGCTCCGCAGAATCTAGCTTCTCCGATAATGCAAGCATCGTTGCTCGTCTCGATGGAGACGATTCAGGTGAGGCTTCGCTTGGAATTATTCGGTTTGTACCAATTTCGAGCCCATCTCGTCTTCCCTCCGCATTCTCCTTCGTCGACTACTACCACTTGTGCCGCTACCACTTCTATTCCAGGC